CCAGATTTCCTTGCCCTCTTCAAAAAAAAAAAAAAAAAATGTGTGTGGACTTGCCTGGTGGGCCAGTGGTTAAGTTTCCGTGCTTCCTCTGCAGGGGTGGGGTGAGAGGCAGGTTTGATTCCAGGTTGAGGAACTTCAGCATGCTGCAAGTTGTGGGCAAGAAGAGAAAACTCCCAAAACTGTGTGTTTATCTACTTTGAAGTGTATATTTTTAAAAAGTAAATTAAAAATATAGTACTGGCACACTCTGCTGATAATTCTTAATTAATAGCTAAACAACTACATGGACCAACTCAAATATTTATACAACAAAAGAAATACTGAAAAATAAACAAATGATCAGGTTTCTGTAGAGAGAGATGCAGCACTTTTGGCCCTCAAAAATGGAGATGTTTTAAATAAGTGATGTATAGGCAGAAAAGGGATTCTTATGGGTGGGGCGTTTCTCATTTTCTCACCGCTCCCCCTCTGAGACGGCCCAGGCTGTTTACAAAGACATCGCAGTAGTTTCTTGTTAAAACTGGGCTCAGGCAATAGCTGAGGGCGGCGGGGGAAGGTCAGGACCAGAAGGCTAGAAATAGCCTTTGAGACCGGTAGAATGGTGAGCCTCACACAGGGAATCAGCAGGCGGAAGGAATATTCTACAGATGAGTAGGGGTTACTCAACAGGGACCAACTGTGGTAACAGGCGAAGCCAGCACTACAGAAGCTTAATAAAAAAAAAAAAAAAATGTGTGTGGACTTGCCTGGTGGGCCAGTGGTTAAGTTTCCGTGCTTCCTCTGCAGGGGTGGGGTGAGAGGCAGGTTTGATTCCAGGTTGAGGAACTTCAGCATGCTGCAAGTTGTGGGCAAGAAGAGAAAACTCCCAAAACTGTGTGTTTATCTACTTTGAAGTGTATATTTTTAAAAAGTAAATTAAAAATATAGTACTGGCACACTCTGCTGATAATTCTTAATTAATAGCTAAACAACTACATGGACCAACTCAAATATTTATACAACAAAAGAAATACTGAAAAATAAACAAATGATCAGGTTTCTGTAGAGAGAGATGCAGCACTTTTGGCCCTCAAAAATGGAGATGTTTTAAATAAGTGATGTATAGGCAGAAAAGGGATTCTTATGGGTGGGGCGTTTCTCATTTTCTCACCGCTCCCCCTCTGAGACGGCCCAGGCTGTTTACAAAGACATTGCAGTAGTTTCTTGTTAAAACTGGGCTCAGGCAATAGCTGAGGGCGGCGGGGGAAGGTCAGGACCAGAAGGCTAGAAATAGCCTTTGAGACCGGTAGAATGGTGAGCCTCACACAGGGAATCAGCAGGCGGAAGGAATATTCTACAGATGAGTAGGGGTTACTCAACAGGGACCAACTGTGGTAACAGGCGAAGCCAGCACTACAGAAGCTTAATGGAGCAGAGGTCTGCTTCTTGTCCTGTTAGTGGACAGTGTGGGTCCATGGTGGTGGAGCGGGCTGTCTTGTCCACATGCCTAAGTGTGGGGACCCAGGGTCCCTCCAGTTGGTGGCTCTCTGGACTCCAGGCTGTTGGCATTCTCTATAAGATTCATCCCTGAACAAAGCTCAAAAAGAGACAGTAGAGAAACGTGCCAAATTCTAGCGGCCAGTCCAGAAACCTACCCTCACTGCCTCGGCCAGAACTCAGTCCTGTGGTCCCATTTGAGAGCAAAAGGAGGAAAACGGGTAGAATTACCTGCCAAAGGAGCCTGGGGAGCCTGGGGATGTGCCATTAAAAGTAACCTTTGAATGAAAAGCTATTTCGAAATTATTTTCAAAATTACAGACTGAACTCTGTGGAGTATACCCAGGATATCACAGATATCTTTCAACATGATCTGATCAATATTCACATTTGAGCTTTAGAAATAGAGTCATTGGTATATGAGATAATGAGTATCAACTGCCTGGGATGGACTCGTGGTGAGTGAGGTCCAGGGCTGGATCCCACCTTCAGGGAGTCCTAATGATACACGTGAGTCAGAGCCAAGCCATGGTCTTTCTGTTCTTCCTGTTTTGGAACAAGATTGGAGATAGAATCTGAGGATAGACAAGATCAGGATGTGGATGTTTTAATTGTCACAGCTGTAGTGAATGGAGTGGAGTGAGGAGAAAAAAGATTCATCATGGTTTTTATAGTTTGGAGGGCATGGTCTCACCCTGTCCTTCTGTAGTCCAGATGCTGGTTCTCGGGAAGGCCTGGAGCCATCTCAACTGGGACCGGCTCCTAGAGTTGCACTGGCCCTTTGTTGGTGGCAGGTGGTGGGAGGGACTGTGGTTCAGAGGCTGAACCTCAGTTCAGTTCACTGAGCTCTGTGTTAGTGAGAAAACCACAGCTTGCTTTTTCTCAGAAGCTTCTATGGACAGACCTTATGATAATGTACGTTGCTATGGGCATGATCTCTTCTCACTGCAAGATGGGAAAAGCTTTGCATAGTCCGCCATTTCCTGACATTCTCTGTAACAGTGTTCATGGGCATGTGTGTGCACCTGCATACGTGTGTACCTGTGTGTAAGAGAACTATAGGAAACTAACTTTAAAACCACGTGTCTTAAGAGACTTCTGGTGTCCAACCAAGGATAGGTTGTGAGCTTCTGCTCTAGCTGCCCCAAGTGTAGAGCTAACATGTTGTCCTGAACTTCAGACCCTCCCTCAACTCATATCTCCTTATTGCAAAGCCCATTTTTCAAGTTGGACATAAAAATCACAATGTCACAAAGGCAGGGGATCAAATACTAGTTTCCTATTTGTGTATATTTTTCCCAAATGTCATAAAATGTTTTTTTATTATTCCCCCCAGCCAGTCATGCAAACAATTTTGATCCACAGGCTTGGAACCAGAGAAATAAAACATGAGTCTAAGAAGAAGAAAACATATTTGGAGCCTAGAATTTATTGCTATGTGTTTTTCTTCCTTTTGCCTCAATCCTAAATTTCATAGTTTTTCTTTTTTGGTTTAGGAAGTTTGGTTGAATTTGCCTCAATATTTTCTTATATATTAATACTTTTGGCTTCGCTATAGGAAAAGCCATTGTTTCCTTTTGCCTACCAGTCAGTTAGCCAGCCAACCAATAAATGTTTACGAAGATCCTATTATAGGTAAAGACAATCTGTTAGGTAGTTTGAAGACGAGGAAGGTCAATTTAGCCTATACACACACAGACACACAGAATATGTAGTCATATCAACGTGGAAAAGTGAAAGTGTTAATAACCCAGTCAGGTCTGATTCTTTGTGACCCAATGGACTCTAGCCCTTCAAGCTCCTCTCTCCATGGAATTCTCTGGGCAAGAATACTGGAGTGGGTAGATGTTTTCTTCTGCAAGCGATCTCCCCAACCCAGTGATCAAACCCAGGTTTCCTGCATTGCAGGCAGATTCTTGACTGTCAAAACCACCAAGGAAGTCCATGTTTTCATATATATAATCATATATCATATGTAGTATATACTTACTGTTGTAATTATGTATACGTAGCCATCCAGAAAAACATCTAATACTGCTTCATTGACTACAGTGAAGCCTTTGACTCTGTGGATCACAACAAACTGTGGGAAATTCTTAAAGAGATGGGAATACTAGGTCAACCTTCCCTCTCTCCTGAGAAACCTGTATTCAGGTCAAGAAGCAACACTAGAATCTGACATGGAACAACAGACTGGTTCAAAATCGAGAAAGGAGTACGTCAAGACTGTATATTGTCACTCTCCTTACTTAACTTACATGCAGAGTACATCACGCGAAATGCCAGGCTGGATGAATCACAAACTGGAATCAAGGTTGCCGGGAGAAATATCAACAACCTCAGATATGCAGATGATACCACTCTAACCACAGAAAGCGAAGAAGAACTAAAGAGCCTCGTGATGAGGGTAAAAAAAGGGAGTGAAAAAGCTGGCTTAACACTCAACATTCAAAAAACTAAGATCATGGTATCCGGTCCCATCATTTCACGGCAAATAGATGGGGAAAACGTAGAAACAGTGGCACATTTTATTTTCTTGGTCTCCAAAATCACTGTGGACAGTGATTACAGCCACGAAATTAAAAGACACTTACTCTTTGGAAGAAAAGCTATGATAAAGTTAGACAGAATATTGAAAAGCAGAGACATCTCTTTGCTAACAAAGGTCCATATAGGTAAAGCTATGGTTTTCCCACAGTCATGTATGGATGTGAGAATTGGACCATAAAGAAGGCTGAGTGCAAAGAATTGATGCTTTCAGATTGTGATGTTAGAGAAAACTCTTGAAAGTCCCTTGGACAGCAAGGAGATCAGACCAGTCAGTCCTAAAGGAAATCAGTCCTGAATATTCTTTAAAAGGACTGATACTAAACTGAAGCTCCAATACTTTGGCCACCTGATGCGAAGCATTGACTCATTGGAAAATACCTTGTTGCTGAAAAAGATTGAGGGCAGGAGGAGAAGGGGGTGACAGGGGATGAGGTGGCTGGATGGTATCACCAACTCAATGGGCATGAGTTTGAGCAAACTCTGGGAGACAGTTGAAGGACAGGGAAGCCTAGCATGCTGCAGTCCATGAGGTTGCAGAGTCTGATACAACTTAGCAACTAGACAACAACAAATATACATTTAGTACCTATTATGTAATAGGCATTCTGCAGAGTCATCATCGAGCTGGTTTGTCATTTTGAAACATGGGCAGGGACAATGGAAATTTTAAAAGTCAGGTGAAATGGCTCAGCCAAATACTTCTGCAATAATTTCTTGAGAGTCTGTTCCCAGGCATTTGTCTTCTGTAGGGACCAGCTTGACTCTGCTGGGAAAATGGGCCATGCAGACAAGGGGAATGACTTTCACAGCAGGACCCGGGCTCTCTGCCTGTCTGTAATGATACATAAAGAAGACTGTGCTGAGTTCAAAGATAGGGAACATCAATCCTTGATAACACACATTTTTTAGGATGGTGCGAGGAGTCAGGAATGTGTGACATGACATCTAGGGCAAGAAAATGACAGATGAGGCTGTTGAAAGACAGGGCTCATGTTACAGTGTAAGCCCTCCTTTTCTTCAGAGTTGGAAGTTCAACCCACAGGTCTCACAGTTCCGAGGGAAGGGTGAGGTTTCGAAACAGTTTGGGACATCCTGGCCAGGGGAGTTCTGGGATTTACGAAAGCCTCAAGTCACACAGCGCCGTTGAGAGTGCAGCGGAGTTTCGAAGTCATAACTTCTAAATCAGATCTGCCTCATCGGCAGCCATAGAGATACCGAGCATCCACCTTCTGTCTGGATCAGCAGCCCTCTCACCCTCCCTGAGCCCTCCTGCCTGGCTTGCCATCTTGCCCTTGGAGTCTCAGAGGTCACCTTGTTTAGAAAATGTTTTTTCATGACTCTAGAGCCTAGTTAGATTCCCAGCCTATGGACTCAAAACAGGACTGTGCCTGGACTGTGTAGCATTTTTCACACTGCGTATTTTTCGCTTGTCTGCCTCAACCTCTGAATTAGTTCCTCTGAGGGCTGTGTTTGGATTGTGTTTTTGATGCAGCGCACAGCGCCTGGCAATATGACACCCTCCATAATGATGGTTCGCTATCAGATGGATCAGTGCGCTGCATGTCTTCCAGAGCTCGGCCTGCATTAGAATGTGAGGCCTTCTGGGAGCCCTTGCTTCTGGTTGCTATGGAAATGGTGCTGCGTTTCACTTAACGCAGAACATCTGAGAACCGGCCCGTGTGGGAGAAGTCCTGGAATGCAGGGCAGTGAATGGCTCATTAGTATCAGTGAAACTTTCCTCCACGTGCAGAGGCACACACACCATTAGCATCTGGCCCCGAGTAAGTGGGAGACTCCGACAGATGTTGGAAAGGCTCCGTGGCCTGTGCCTCGTCATTCACAAAATTGTTTTTCTTGCTCTTCTTATCAGCCTTGAGAAAATCAGAATGATCTTCTCAATAACCCTAACTCTATATCATTTAAACTGGACCCAATCCGTCTTCTCATTGTGGCTTCTGGAAGGAAAGAGAAAGGAGAAAAGATGGACAGATGAGCACCATTGTTAACATTATAGGTGGGAATTCCCTGGTGGTCTGGTGGTTAGGACCCTGAACTTTCACTGAGAGGGCACGGGTTCCATCTTTGGTGGGGAACTAAGAGCCCATAAGCTGTGTTGTGGCCCAAAACCAAAAATAAATAAATAAAATAAGCCCCACTATATGTGTTGGGCACAGGGCCTTTGTGTGTATGTATGTGTGTGTATGTCCCTGTATTAATTTCTTAGGGCTGCCATAACAAAGCGCTACAAAGAGACTTAAACAACAGACATCTACTGTCTCACTGCTCTAGAGGCCAGAAGTCCAAAATCAAGGCATTGGCAGGTTGGTTCCTTCTGTGAACTTTGATGGAGAATCCATTCCAGGGTTCTCGCCTATGTTCTGTAGTTGCAGGCATTCATTGGCTTGTAGAGGGTCCTCTTCTCCCAATGTCTTCAAATCATTTTCCCTCTGTATGTGTTTGCCTCTGTGTCCAAGTGTCCTCTATTTATAAAGACACAGTCACCATGGACCCAGACTCTTCTGAATGACCTCATCTCACCTTGATTATGTGCAAAGACTATTTTCAAATGAGGTCACATTCACAGATACTAGGGCTGGGATTGCAATATCTTTCTGAGGGACACAATTCAATCCATATTGTACAGTAAATGGTTTAAGGCCATGTTAAGGTAAAAATCTTCTCCCTTTTCCATTAATTCATGATTAAGAAAGAGAGACTGAGAGAGGAAAGTATTCTGCAAAGACAATTGTCAAAAATGGCAAAGTCAAACTAAAGACTGATGAAAGTGGGAAAAGTTATTACCCATTGCTATCCATTGCTAAGGGGCTTCCCAGGTGGCACTAGTGGTGAAGAACTCCCCCGCCAGTGCAGAAGAAGTAAGAGGCATGGGTTTGATCCCTGGGTCAGGAAGATCCCCTTGAGGAGGGCATGGCAATCCACTCCATTGTAACTGCCTGGAGAATTCCATGGACAGAAGAATGTGGTGGGCTACAGTCCATAGGGCCACAAAGAATCAGACACGACTGAAGTGACTCAGCATGCACGCACACATGCATCCATTGCTAAATTTTTCTCTTTTACTGGTTTGTTACTAACTGAAATTTTATTTCAAACCAAGATGAGTACTACTGATGCTAGTCAAAACCTATTTCACACATTTATTCCACAAATATTTATTGAGACCATGATGGGCTTACAGGATTCTAGGAGGTAAAAAGCTCTGAAGTGAACAAGACAGATCCCTACTCCCATGGAGCTTATAGTACAGTGTGCAGAGACAGTCAGCAAAGAAGCAAACCTAATTTCATTCATTTATATTTATACTTGTTTAGGTTTAATCCCTCATAAAATGTCAGGTAGTAAAAAAAAATCAAAACCAGGTAAAGGGATAGAAAGCTACTGAGGATGATAAGTTTGGCAGCTCAGAGAAGGGAAGACAGAGTTCCAAGGCAGTTGGCTAAGAACCATACTGGTATCTGAGAAAAGGGCCTTTCGTTGCAGAGCAAAGAGCAGGTGCAAATGTCCTGGGCCAGGAGCATGCTTGGTAGGTTTGAGGATTTCAGAATGAGCCCTTGAACCCTTATTTAATTCAGCAGTGAGGGCCAACAGGAAGAAAGGAATTGATTTAGACAAACAGTAGAGTCAAAACCATGAGGCAAATTTAGAGCAAGGAGAAGAATCGTATTTTAATAGAGCGTAGCACAGAGATCATAAAATAAGGAGAAATATCAGCAATAATGACCATTTCCGTCTTTATTATCACAAAATCAAACAGTATCAAAACAAATATCTTTTTTGTTTTCGTCCTTGACTTCATACATAGTTTGCCAGTTTTGGTCTAAACTTTCTCACAGTGGGAGAAGGTGAGGGTGGGATGATTTGAGAGAATAGCATTGAAACATACATATTATCGTATGTGAAATAGATCGCCAGTCAGGTTTGATGCATGAGGCAGGGTGCTCAGGGCTGGTGCACTGGCGTGACTCTGAGGGATGGGATGGGGAGGGAAGTGGGAGGGGAGTTTAAGATGGGGAACACATGTACACCCATGGCTGATTCATGTCAGTGTATGGCAAAAAACCACTACAATACTGTAAAGTAATTAGTCTCCAATTAAAATTAAAAAAATAAACTTTCTCTCAGCCATCCTTTCTTTCTGGTCACCCACTGCTGATGGCAACTCATTAGTGCTCACACAGACTATTGGTCATCTGTCCTGTTGATCCTTCACACAGTCACCAATCATTTCTGTAGCCATGGTTCCATTCCCAAAACACTACTCTCTGCCTCCAAAATATAAACTGATTTCCCTTTCCCCACAATTGTGGACCTGTACCCATCACTCAGGTCTGCACACCCAAAGACCCAAGAGCAAATAATTCAGAGCAGGGGAGTACTTGGGGATACTTAATGAGAATACTTATCCATTAATGTATTTATGTTTCTCCAGTCAGTCCAGGAAATGTCCTGGCCCGCTCCCCCTTCCGCTACACATTTGTTGTAGCTCTGGAACCCAGGAACCATGTGTGTGCAAGATGACCATGCCCTTCGGGACACTGTCATTTGTTCCAGGAGGTAAAACTCAGCTCAGCAGAGACAAATGACATATTTGATCTCCTCGGTTTAAATGATGAGCTGGAGAGAATTCATGGTTGTTGCTGTTGTTATTGTTGTTGTTCCAGAAATATGGATTTGTAAGATGAAAATTTTACAAACTTGGGAGAGGTCAGGTTTTCAACACTTGGGTTTGAAGAATCAAAGGAAATGAGCAGAGAAGTGCAGGGTGGGGAAGAAAAGGGGAGAGAGAGAGATTCAGACAGAGATGGAAATAAGAGAGAGGAAGAGGAGTGGGAGGCGGGGAGAGGGAAAGGAGAAGAGGGGGAGAGGGGAGGGAGGGAAGAGAGAGAAAGAAAACAGAAGGAGGAGGAAAGTGGAGTCAAAGAAAAAGTCTCTTGATAGCATTGAGGCACATAGTTTAAGTTTGTTCCCAAAACTCGGTTGCAGCTCTGCTCCTGGATTTTGTGGGACACCCTTTTGGTTTTATTAGAATGTATTTCTGCTAGTGTGCAACCAAGGATCCAAATCATTCAGTCTTTTTTTAGATTTTGCCTCCACCCCAGTGTCTGTCTCTGGGCACTCCCACCTGATAAGAGGGTGAGTCTGTTAGTATCATTTTGGAACTTGACAAGTGTGTCTACTATGTCCATCATTTTGTCTCCTGAAGTCAAATTTGCATTCTTCAAGTAGCTACCATTTGCTGTCCTGAAAGACAACAAGTAGGCTATTTTTAAGTTATACTATTGTGTTCTAAGTTAGGAAAATTTGAAGAATTGAATTACAAAAAGATTCTTCCAGAACTATTTCTGAGGGCACTAGATACTTCACCAGAAAGATACAGAAGTGCTAAAAGTTGAAGTCTAATGGTTACTTTCAATTGAAGAATAAATAAAATGAAAGCAAGACACATCTGGAAAGGTAATTGTCAGTAGAGGAGCAGGATTCCATCTGTAAACGTGCACACAGATCCTCCAAATATAAGGCATACAGGATGCATAGATTTGGGTAGGATGACAGAGGTGAGTAGTAAAGAGATCAGCAGGTATCTAGTGTATCCTGTACACCAAGCATTCAATATGTAAGTTTAACACATCTTGTGGAATTTAATTGCTACAAAACTCTATGACACAGATGTGGATGAGGAAATTGAGATTCAGATCATTTAAACCACTTTTCCAAGACTCTGTGGCTGTTAGAGCTGGGACTAAAACATAGATATACCAAGTTCCAGTGTGCAATATTCATTCCTTTCTCCCTTCTGCCTTCCAGTTTCAATCTGTTCTGTCTTGCTCCTCATTTAGGGTAAAGGTTTACAAAGCATAGTCTGTGGGATCCCAGCATTCTCTGGGGGTGATGGCAGAGTTGAATCAGATACCTCTCCTTCCACCTCAACCGGAGATCCTCCACATAGATATCTTTGGTTCAGTGTAATGGGATTTCTGTGTCAGATTTCTTTTGAAGGAAATATTCCATCGCTTTAAGAAGTTTGAAAGCCATAACCACAAGCTAATGCGAGGTCATTTTTTCCAGGAATGCCAGCTGAATACCATCTCATCTAGGACCTTGAATAGATACAAATCATGACTTTTGTAAGGATAAAAAAGGAAATTTAGTTCTTTTTAACATGAAATGTAAATAGGAAAAATTAGGTGTAGGGTTAAGTAAATACATCACATAACCCCACCTGAAACAGGAACAAGGATCTATAGTCACCTAAAGTGGTGAGGAGAGGAAGGACATAATCTTTATGTGACAATTAATAGATAATAACTTTTAAAATAGACACAATTCCCTTCATTATATCAGGGTGCAAAATTCCAGTGACTCTGGCTTCAAATTGCCAAGAGTATGTCTAAGAAGAACCCCTTTCCCGTTAGGAAGATGAACTGTAAACAGCTCATCTTCGAGGAAAAGCTTCATGATATTGAATTTGGCAGTGATTTTTGGATACAGCACCAAAAACACAAGCAATAAAAGCAAAAATAGGCAAACAGAAGTATACCGAGCTTAGAAAGTTCAGTGCTACTTGAGCTTTTTCCATTTCTCATGTGTTAGCTGGTTAATCTGTTGTCTGGACGGGAACTCCTTCTTCAAAAGTTGTTTACAGGTAAGGATGCTGATGAGAAACTTCACTCATGATAACATATTGACTTGCATCCTCCTCCCCTGCACACTGTTCTCCAGCAATCTCCGCCTCATGATATGATTATGACATCTAGGAAACAGCCCGTTTCTCTAGGGAATAAAAAGCTCTCTGTCGCTCTCCTCTCTCATTGTTTCTCAGCATAACCTTCCTCTCCCGGCCCCTGGCCTCTGCTCCTACTCTTCTCTAGTCTCTGCCCCCTGATCCCACCATGTCCCCAGGCCACGGCTTGAAGTGTGAGCTGCCTTATATGATTTATGGGCCCAGGGAGGCTGAGGTCAGAACACAGATTGTTTGGCAGGCACCCCCGAAGACCCCGTGCAGTGCTGGAGATGCAAGCCCAGGGGATGGTCACAGGATATGGGATCACGTTTTCAACGAGCAGTGCAAAGTGGCACAGGATATCTGTCACCACACAAGCAAAACAGTCATTGTTTTCTCCCCGCCCTGTGACCCAGACCTGGGTCTGTAAAGAGACAGCAGCTGTGGTCCTGACACCCAGATAAACACCGAATGAAGGACAATGTATTAGAAGGAAGCAAGATGCTGTGTTGTCTTGGTGGTGACTGAGATCCCTGGGGCTCCGTTCCTGTCTGGGGTTGTGTGTACCTAAACAGTGTGGGTGAGGTAAGATTCCTGGTGGAATCTGGACATGACTTGTACACGTGGCACAGGGGTAAAGGCTCCGCCTGCCAATGCAGGAGACACAGGAGAGGCAGGTTCCATCCCTGGTTCAGGAAGATCCTCTGGAGGAGGAAATGGCCACC